GATACCTCATGTCATACTCGATGCATTTCCTCTGTCCTCTCTTAGGACACATGTGATCTTGCCTACTGAAATGCAGGGGTTACAACTTTGATGTGGGTTTCAGCAGGAGTGGTACCTAGGTAAGCATATTCCTCTCCTTTGTTATTTGGAGAACAGCGGGGAAATAAAATGCCTTGATGTGCTGGAAAGGAGAGGGATGAGGAGGGCTGAACATCTTTTCATCAGATCTCCTAAAGGCCAAAACAACTGTGTGAGGAAGCAGTCATTCCATTTCATATCCTTTCTCCGAACCTGAAGTTTTGGGAGAAGGTTTGAAGCCCACCAGGGATGGCACTTCATCCACCATCAACCAGTGATGGTGAGAAGAAATGTTACTGATGCACTGCAGCGCATGGAGCTCTTGCTAAGACAACCTGCTGGAACTAGAGGGTCATTTCATAGTCCTGCTGGGACTAGAGTCAGTCATTTCAGTGGCACCCAAAGCTGATGAGGAAAACTAAATACACAATATTCTCATTCTCGTGTGTTGTTCTGCAACAGGTTGCTAGAAGCTCTCCAGCTACTGAGCAGCACAGGCATTGCTGCTTGAAGCTCCGACTGCTCCAGAAGCTTCTGACTGACATAATCACTGGCTTTCGGAAAGAAGGAGAATAGATATCTTCTATTTTACAGCTTCAGAGAAGGAGAGCAAGTGAATACAAATATGCACACCACTAGGGAATGGAAACAAATCTTCATTTTCTTCAATTGTATCAAAAGAAATGTATAGAACTGATTTCTCTCAATAAAGACTGTCATCAACATGATTTGCAGGAGCACCATCAGTTATCACACAATTTTAGACAGAAAAGTAGAAACATTCTGATTTGACTTTCCATTTTGATAGTGCCAAAACATTATATCTCCATAAGTTACATTTTATTTCATCATGATTCATGGTGACTTTATGTTGTATGTGTTCTGGCACCATATTCAAGTTTTAAATGCTATATATCACAGGGATTTTGTTTATATAGAACCTGTCACATTTAATGGGGAAATGTCACATACGTTTAATGTGTGACATTTAATGTTAATGTCATGCAGACCCTGGGAGTACTAAGCCCTGCCACATCCATTCACTTGCTCTAAGTGTGAAATGTTGCTGCCTTCTTCTGAAACACCTGATATGGTACAGTTATGAAAACTACTCTGTACCAGAGTACAAGTCTGAGAGGTATCTATGAGATGGGTAGCACAGCAACTACTTAGATGTGCTCCTCTTGGACATCTGACAAAGACAATTAAAGACACCACAGTGTCTTCACAGGAAGATATAATTTTTGGGTGTTTTCAGAGTAACGTGATGTTCAAGTGGTTTTAAGATCCAATTTCACCAGTGAACTGAGCACCGGTGAAAGCCAAAGCACCTGGACATTAAATATTCTGCAGTGAGAATGAAGGTGGCTGCAGGGAGGCTGACCTTACCACTGCACATTTCCACAGTGTGATTTTGTTCCAATTTTCCTGTTTGGTCTTAAAGTCCTGAAAAAACTCTTCTGTCCTTTCACTTGGAAGCCAGACTTTCAGTGCTCTGAAAAAAGCAGCACAGTTTCTCCTGGGATCCCAGGTGAATACTGCAGCCCAGGCTGTAGGCATCTGAAACGAGTTCCTCAGTTCCTCTTCACACCCACTGAAGCGAGAGCACAAAGGTTATGTTGCAAATTAAGTTTTACTGACAGCGTCTCTAGGCTGTCTAAATCTGATTTTGATTTGCTGGTCATGCGCTCCGCAGACATTCAAAACCTGAAGGCTTGAAATCTACTTTCAGTCAATTTTATTTCTGCTCAGAAAGGACTATCTCAATATTTCACTGATGGCTCGATGAAGGCTTGATTCGTCTGTGCATGTCCATAGCAATGCTGCTCTCCATTAAGAACTCTACAGACAGGGATAAAGTAAGGGGAAAGGACACACAGATTTCTTAACTCGATTTGTTGGCAGTTCTCTAGCATCAAATGCAGGCATTAGAGATCTGCAGGCTTATTTCCTCAGAGGGAAGCAAGGAACCCTCAGTCACACTTTGCACACTGCAGGAAATGGAGGCTCAGCTCCGCCGCCAGCCTGGTGACCACAGAACACCTCCTGCCTTTCCTGCCCCTCAGGCTCTGCACCCTCCCGACTCACCTCATGGGAATAGAGTCATTTTATTTCACCAACAGGTTACTAATAGTGAACAGGCACTACTGCCGTACCACGTTTTTACTGATCTTGCTCACAAAGTGTTGTGCTTCAGTTTATGTTAGAGCAGGGCCCAGGAAGAAGAAAAGGGCTTCAGAAGTGGCACCCTTCTGATGGCAAAGGTGCAGCTAAACTTCACTGAAATTTCTTCCCAACCTCATCCTCTCTGGTCAAGATAAGCAGGCCCAGTTCTTCTTCCCTCTTTAAAAAGCAGGGTCTTTTGACACAGAAAAACTAATGTATTTGTGCAGAGGGCAAAAGCAACACATGATCTGGAGAACGAACTTCTTAGATACTCTGAACTTGAAGGCCACTCCATGCTTTCAGATCAATTTTAGTTTCCCTGTTTGATTTTGGTGTTCTCATCTCTGAAACCTTCAGTGAGGATGCTTTGATCCACAGTGCTGATGTGAAAACCCCAGAAAAGCAACCTCAACAGCAAAAATGCTGACAGGTTCACCTAAAAGTACCACTGAAAGACACTGGAAGATAAATAGTATATTCAGGGCCTGCACTGCAAAGAGAATTCCAAAATGCAGCATTTCCAGACTGTACACTAAAATTGTAATATAAATATCCTAGCATTTATCTGGAAACTCTAATGAAATGGACATTCATCCATCAGCCAGCAGCCCTTGTCGGAAAGGGCTTTTCCTTTTAGGAAATCCGGTGAAAAGTGGAACTTCCTTTCTGTTAATACAGTTTTCATATTTGCTAAGTTGTTTTTTGACTGGTAAAAATGGGATCCAAGCAAACTGGGGGAGATTGCATTAGGTGTTGCTATTGCCTTTGGCATCCTTTCTGCAGAACGTGTTAAAAACCCTTCATGTTCAATTCCACTCTTCCATCAATGGAAGTTCAAACCTTTGCTCTTCACTTCAAGCCAGAAACTTCTGGGATGGGAACCTCCAGTTCTCACCTGTGACCTCACAATGCTCACAATGCAGCTGATTGCCGTTAACAACTAAAATGCAAACATCTGCTTATCCTCTGCTAAAAAAAATAACAGATTGATAAAGCTGAAATTATGCAGTTAATGGTGTGGTCAGTCTACCACAGACATGTAATCTTGTTTCTGAACACTACACCTAACCTCATTTTAATGAAATTAAAGTAAATCACTAGTGCTGTTTCCTCAGCTATTTTAAGCCACCTATAATTTCACAGACAATAACAACAAGGACACGTTCTCGAATTTTTGAAAGAAAAATAAGTTAACTCAAGGAAGAAACACGGTCTTTTATATGTAATCACTGCATATAATATTCTGCACTCCCACATAAATCTGAAAAAGGCAAAAATATCTGCAATTATATAAGAAAGTTCTAGCACAAACAAGAAAAACACATAACTGACAGGGAAGATGTTATTGCTGTACAATGCCTTCCAAGAAGCAGGCCAAGAAACAGTTTTTATCTGAAAACAAGAAGGCATGAATTATTGAAGAACTTGCCCATTTGTTACCACAAGTACTTTGTCATGTAAATGAGCAAAGGGTTTTGAAATTTCCTAGATAAAAGCAGGTCCCAGAATTTGATTTAAGATCAATTCTTCGTTGTTCACATAGGATTTGCAGAAACATTTCCAGGAGTATTAAACTAGTAACTTGATAATCACAACTGCTACATCTTATGAAAAAAGTACAGCTCTCCTGAAACACATAAATCACCATCTCTGTAACGTTTCAAAATCATGGAGTTCACGTGGCCTCAGACGTGCCATGGAGCTGCTAATAAGAGAATAATAAACTGTGAAAAGCTACAACACAGACTGAATAGTGAGCCTGGAAGACGCATCTGACAACCAGACGGGACGCTGGTTCCCCTTACATACCATGCACCACAGCACAGGCTTTGATTTTAGCACCAGTACTGAGCATCAGAGCAGACAGAGGCAGGTTGAGGCGAGGCAGGAGCACGTAGCAGAGATGGAGAGAGCAGCTTCTGGGCTCTGAACAGTGCTGTTATTTATGTGCAAATATTTCATATTAAATTCATCAAACCTGCATAAAATTTCAGTCTGGAGCAGCAGACAAGGATGAAACTTCATTTTCTACAAGCAAATTGCTTAAACACTGAAACATACATAAGGAGTGTCTGTAAAGCTCTTCTTAATTCAAAACTGATCACTTAAGGTATATTTATTCATTCATTCCTAAAGAGTTTTAATTTTTATCCTCTCATTTCAGGCATAGAGCTGGTATTGGCAATGAACACGACGGAAATCACGAGCTCCAAACTATGTGAGGCATGCATTTCAGCACCTTACCAAGTGAGGTCAGCTTCAATTTATTAAAAATCTTAAATGCATTTGAAAGTAAATATTTCCTCAGAGCCAGACAGAAATCAAACTCCCTATGGCCCAAACTCATCAGAATCATGTAACCTGCGTCTAAACTCTCGAATAACTTTTTAAAGTTAAAAGCAAAGGGTAAAAAGAAGTCATAAAGCTACCAGATTTGAGAGCTCATTTATGACTTGTCACTTGGGAGGATTGGAAGATTACTTGACCAAAATACTTAATGATTTAAGAACTATCTAGTTATGAAGGCTTATGGCAAAATGTGAATTTGCAAATGCTTAATTATAGCTCTTGAAAGAGGTAGCTATAATTACTAGAGAAACTAATTTTAAGACAGAGCACTATATGACAAATATAATTAAGAGAAGAAAAATAATGAGTATATATTAACTGCAAGAGTACCTTAATCATGAAAATTAAAGAAAACATTTGAACAAGATAATCTATACATCTTAGCCATACTTTAACACAGTACTCACCTTAGAACACATGTGTAGAAACCACTGTCTTGCAAGTCAACTGAGTGAAACCATATTGAATCTTCATCCTTGCTCATTCTAACTTCAGAAAATATAATGGGTTCTTCTAAGTCTCCTTTGTTTTTGTACCACATAAGCCTAAGACCTGTGCTTTGGGCCATGCTATAATTAGTTCTGATATAGCTGTAGAAAAGGGCACATTTCACTCGGACTGGTTCACCTGCCAAAGCCATGTATGTCTTGAGATCCACTGACCAGTCAATGCAACCATCAACTGAAAGCAAAACAATAATAAAGAAATATTAGATACAGATATATTTCTCAAGGTAGCGAGAAGCAGCCTATGAAATGCAACACAATTAATCAAAAGAAACGAATATTTGTTTCATAACAGGGTGATAAACCTGTGGCAGCTATTAGATATTAAATGGTTTCATATATTTTTTATTAGTTACATGTAAACATAAAATATGCAGGCTGTAAGAGCAGATTATTATTATTATTATAGCACATTAGATCTGCTCAACACAATTTCTTTAGAATATTGTTTCCTTCATCTATTTTCATTAATTCCTTAATAAATAAACCAACTGTTTTCACTTGCTCAAATGAAACACTTTTGAATTCAGTGATTCTTCATTGGAGGAAAAGTATGTTGGTATCTGATCCTAACACTTCCATCCATCTCTGCTAGTTACGTTACTTTAGAAATAAAAGATGTGGCCATTATTCTTTTCTCAGGCAGTTCCACTTAGCCTTTTCTTTTTCCTACAGTCTACTCAAACTACAGAGACAGTAATATGTCCGAGGAGATACAGCCACAACATGCTGCAGGACACAACTGCAACACGCTGCCAACGCCACCACGCTGACACAGATCTTGTACAACTACAGAAAGGGATTTTCTGATGTTCTGTTCAGCAAACACTTTTGAAACTGGGCTCTCACAGGGTTGACACTTCAGTTTAAAAGCGACTTTGTCAGCCAAAAGATTAATTCTCCCTACATTTTTCCTCTCGTTACTTCTAAGTCATCTTGGTTACAATATAATCCTAGAACATACGTACATATCAACAGGGAATTTTCCCTCACATATCAAAGACCTTTTCATTCCATCTTTTTTATTCCTAGAAAACCAGGAAATCTCAAAGTCAACCAAGAACATGACCAAAGAAAAAGACTGCAAGGCAGACCAGCAGCAGGCAAACACATTGCCTAAGATCAATACACTTGATCAAATATATATTTTGCAGAATTTCTAGATCGTATCCAGCTACATGTAACTGAAACATCTTTATCCTTGATGTACTATTTCACAACTTCAACCTTACATCTTCTGCATTTAGAGCATCAATTCTCCAAATCTAACTGTTGAATGCTCTCATGTACATATCATTTCACAAACACCTTCAATAGCATTCACTCTTTGTATGACTTTATTTATTTCCAAGCAAATGTACCGAGCCAAAATATGTAAATATGCAGGAATACCAGATCCAGTACTTAATGTCCTTTCCTACCTTTAAATTACATTTACCATTTCTTCAGGCTTCTCCCGAATCCTCCAAAACTAGTCATGGCAAATGAGAGGTTTTACTTTCCCCGTAACTTTGCATCAGCTTCAACTGTACCATGACCACAGCAATCAGGCAGCTGAACACTATTTTAAACCCGTTCATACATTTCTAATACATAAACTTTCACGTGACATCTTGGTAAAACCAACAAACAGCCCAGGACAGGAGGAACAGGAACCCATGACTCAGAAATGGATGCTCGGTGTCACAAGAGCAGTCCAAGGCAATGGGAGATGGGCCAGAGCCACCTTCTGCCATGCACCCAGCAGCAGCTGCTGCTTGTGCCAGCTGACTTCTTGCTTCAAAAAAGCCCCAAGGCAAAAATACTCACTGCAGTTACATACACACAGTTTCTGTTAACTTCCATTTTTACTGCCATATTTCTTTCTCTGAAAGCTCACTGAGAATTACATGAAATGCAAAGCTGGAAGCAGTTCACTGACGTCTCTTCCTTACTGCTGCAGCATCACTTCCCCTCCTGGGTTTTCCCTGTGAAAGTTTAGTGCCACACAGAACACGACAAGTTTGGCTAATCATTACTTGAAAATCACATATTGAAATATTTGTCCTCAACGCATCCCCTCTATTTTTTATAAGATCCTTTTTATCATCAAAGCTGCATGCTAGAAGTCAAACAGTCTCTTGCTAGGACCACATCACACACTGCCCCCTTCCCTCTCTGCTGTGCAGTGACACAAACACAGGCAGCTAGGAGCAGAGCTGGGATAGGAATCCAAATCCCCCAAGTCACTCCAATCCGTTTTTACAGTTAAGCACTGCTCCAACACCATGAATAATTTTATATATATAGGTGGCATTAAGGGCATTTGCATAGAATTGGTCTCAATGCAGAGCTTTGTCAAAGAAGCTCTGTGCTGTTTTGCTGCTGTTGTTTGTGGGTTTTTTTTAAGTCCTTTTCTTTAGGTAGGTGCAAGCTTACAAGTAAAAAGGATTGCAGAGTTTGCAGCCTCATTCTCCCAGTAAGGAATGTCAAAGGAAACGTTGAGCAATCCAGATTTCTCATCTGCATTCTCCAGGACATGCAGACACTCTCAAACACTTTTCTTCCCCTGTAGTTTAGCAAAGTCACAACACTCTAAGTAGACGCGTAAGCTCAAATGAACAGGGGTGTCCAGAACTGGAATTCAGATCCAAACTAATTCCACCAATCTAATTAACTCTGTCAATCTTTTGTCAATCTAATCCTGCAAATGTCATCTAAAGCTTTCAAACCTGTGCTGGCTCAGCAAAGTTAAAGCACAGTAAAGAATAACTGACGTCCAGGTACACGCAGAAAGCCTTCCGGTCAAGCAGAAATGTGCCGGTTTTCCATTATCACAAAGCAGAGCCACAATTACAAAGAGTTACGCAGTTAGGCTCTGACCTAGTGTGGAAATCCAACTTTAGAAGCTGTAAATGCCACTGTTTCCCATAAAATTTCCCCCACAGCGACACCAGACACTGCATTTTGACAAGCACAGCCCAAAGACAAGCAAAGCTCACACCGCCCTTCATCTCCCTCAGCCTCCACTCTCACTTGAAAATTTCTTCTCCCATCCGCCAAGCACTTTGCTACTCTTTTCTTCAAAATTACAACTGCTGAACTGTTACAGCTGTATTGCAACACTGGAACAGATGAAAGATACAGGAACGGTAGCAGCGAATCAGGACAATAGAGATGCAAGGCTACTGCTGGCTGCCCAGCAGTGCGAGGCTGGGCCGGGGCTCTCCGGGCTGCGGGGGCACTCATGGCCTGGGACACAGCGAGCTGATCACAGTCAGCACCTGCATCCCAAAAGGAGAAACGAAAGAAAGGAAGATTTACACACTGGGGCCTTCTTCCCATTAAAGGCGGCCAAGGGGAAGAATTCAGCATGCAGGCCGGCCCTGGGCAGTGAGCAGAGCACAGCCTGCAGTGGCTGCAGCAGGGCGCTCCTGCAGCGCGCGAGGTGCTCATCACAGAGAGCACAGCCACCGTCCTTTGCAGGGCTGATGACATCTGCAGAGGGGAGGGGGAAGTCTCACAGAGCTCCCTAATGAAATCTTAGTTTTTGAAGAAAGGCTAATCAAACAGGAGATGACTTTTTCCCCTTACTCTCTTTTTCTTGTTAAGTACGGTCAGGAATGTTCCCACTTATGAAGCTGTAGAGGCTTAAATCTAGGTCAGGCTCCCTGCGCTCACATGGAAGCCGGGATGTTTCCTCTCGCCGCGCTGTCAGTCACTGGAGCGTGTGCATTGTCAGATTAATTTGGAGCATTCTCCAGGCTGTCATTACAAATGGCTGCAGCTGCCTAGGTGGAGTTTAGCGCTCCATTATCAAGAACAAAGTTTGCTGTCATTTTGGCTGGGCTGGATCTCAACACGTAAAGAAATTAGGGTGCTAAGAAGACAAAAGCAATGGCGTTAGAGACACTGTATTAAAAAAATGTATATATCTTTCCTCTGCTACATAATAATTAGCTGATCCTTAATAAATGCCTGATTGAGAGCTCATTCAGATCAAATCCTTTCCGTCGTGAGTGTATTTCAGACAATTTCAGCTAAGACAATTCTTTGAAATACGCTCTAAAATTTAGAGCATTGAGACAATATAGAAAACATTGTCCCATTTCTAGCCTGGCTACCAGAGGAAGTAAGGCTGCCCGTCTGTCTGTCTGTTCCACATCTCCAGCGGAACACTGACTGAATGCAATCCTATTTCGTAGTACGTGAAAGGGCTGTGCTACAGGAGAGCCCTGCATGGGTGCAGGAGAGCTCTGCAGCACTCAGTCACGGTGGGCACACTGCAGTTATTAGCCAGGACCATCCCAGCTCTCTGTCCAGGCCACAGCTACTTGAGGAGATGGTGAATTGAAAAAGAAGGTTTCAAATTTATAAAATAAAAAACAGATTTAGTCAGCTGACAGTAAGTTACTGTACTTCTGTGTTAGCAATCACTCGAAGTGTGCACTGCACCTCCTTCCCTAATATTTCCCGGCTATTTGCTGCTATTCTTATTTTGAATAAATCTAGACGTCTAGGGATTCTAGATGCATTTTAACATGAACCATAATAATTTATGAGCAATTGCAAAAGAGCATGTACATAGCCTCTAAGTAATTTGTCTTTCTGCTTGCTGTCATACACATAATTTTTGCATTGTGAATCTGCCTGTAATAATTTTTGTAGGGATCTGCCACCTACAGTAATTTATATCGCAGGATTGTTAAACATGTTTGTGTACCTTGTTACCTGAAATCTCATTTTAAATTGAAATCGTCTACAAATAAATAATTAATAAATAAATATGCTAGCTAATGTATTAAATTTATTGCTCTACAAAGCGAGAAATGCCTGCGACTGTAAATATTTAGGGGGAAAAAAAAAAGAAAAAAAAAAAACAAACACAAAAAAACAAACAAACCAAAACCCAAAAACCATTCCTTGGAGTTATATTTTATTTATATATCATCCATAGAATGGCAGAGCCTGGGAACTGACATCCATAACGTTTGGAATTTGCAGGCACGTAGCAACAATGCATGAACTCAGGGAAGAAAGACCGAATCGGGATGAAAATTCTGGATGCTCAAAGGGGAGAAGTCATTTACAGCCCCTAACTTTAGGTAAGTGGGCATTTTCAGGTCTTAACCCTAAAGGAAAGAGGATTTGCTCTACTTCAGCAAACCCAGTAAGACTTTTAATAGCTTTGGTTGG